TAGGTACTCTTAATGTTCAGTGTTTTACGTTAATAATTTAGAAACCATGCCTTGCTTTGCATTCTGACAAAGGAAATTGTTGTTCAGAAACACTTACAGAATCACCTCTCTCCGGCTCTAACACTTTTTCTGGGACACTCTGTATGTCATTAGAATCGCGGATGAACGAACTGAACCGCATGGCTCCTTCGATTTTTCCCACAAAGAATTCGAACAATCACGTTATCACGCGATTGGGTGTTGAATGAGGACTCCTTAAAGAGCAGGTCTGGGACTTTCCTTGGTTCTCTGTAATGAATATTTATTAACCTTAAGTCATATTCGAACGAGGTCAGAAAACCCGCGTTTACTTTCACCGCTCGCCAATTAATTATAGTCGAACAAGTATCATTAATTACATTAATATATTGTTTGGCGTGAGGTATGAGATCTTCAATTAATTTTCGCGTCACAAGTTTCGCACGACCAATTGGAAATTCACACGCAGCAAATTAAAACTGCGTATCCATCTTCCTTGCTGCGATATCATTTTTATAGATACATTTAACAGTCATAGAAATTCGAGCTTGGTTCACTATGCTTCGTCGAAGTTTTAAATACCTTATTGTTTTTTTTAAACGATTACGCACCATAGATTAAAATGTGAAACACAAACCTAACGACGTAATCTAAATATTGATGCTTTATTTAACGAAATAAGGATAGCGATACTGACTTTCACGTTGGCACAACCGGTTCAAACACTTCAACTTTTCTTGCACGAGCGTTATTACAATCTCCGATTCTTTGCATTTTGTGAAGAAAAATGTGAATCAAATGCAAACCGGAAGGTAACATGATTTCGATATATTATTGACAAGAAGATAACATTCCGTTTTCGACATTAGTAGGAAGGTTGTTTATGAAACTCGCGAAAACAATCGAACGACATGTTAGGTAAATACCTAACCGGGTCCGGACAGGAGCGAGAAACGGGTTTACGCAATGATGAAATAAAATTTACAAAATAAATTTACAAATTAAATTCGGTTTATTGGACCGGCCAACGGGCCGATCCCTCAAATTCAATACAAAATATAATATAAGTATAGGGCTTAGTCTTTGATTATTTGTTTGCCCTCGAGGCCAGGGCCGTTGTCGCCGCGTCTCTTAACGTCGATCGCTGTAACAACAGAAATAACCGAAACGGTTAAAGTTATTATTCTGTTTGTCCTCGACAGAATTTAAGAACTGATAATAATCAGTGGACTGTATTTTCGGAAGAGAATATTCTCTCTTCCAATTTCTTCCTTATTCAGGCAATAGAGTATTTCTCTATTTTTCAAATTATCTCTTCCCGTACGCAATTGTACGGATGAGATGGCCTTTAAACTTGGCACTGAATTCGGCGTGTCGAAAACAGGGTCAGGGAACGCCAAAGCACAGCTTTATCGGCTGTGCGCGGGAGCTCGGGTTGTAAGGCCGAAACTCCTACTGGGCATGCATAAGCGCAATATCTTGCAAAACTGCACCAACTCAATTGCTATGCACCTTTCCCGGAGAGAAACCTTAACGACTTATTTTCGCGGTACCTTTTAGGCCCTATGCGATGGCGCCGTTCTCTAGCCGGTGGTCAGCTAGTCAATTAACAATATCTCGATAGTGTCAGGAAATTCGTACGAAAACGTCCGATCCGCAATGCGAGATTGTGAGTTGCCGACTCGCCGGAGGTCCGGCTCGGACGCCCTTTTATTGCTTCCGAGAATTCAACATATATTTATCGAGAATTCGAACACGAATTCTCGTTACGCGGAGTCCGGCGATTTCCTCGTGGTGTTTACCAGTAGGGCACACCGTATATAAGAAACGTTATACCGTTTCTTATAGCCGTACCGATCTGATTTCATCGGAATTTTGTTTGTATTCACGAGAATTCGTAATCGAATTCTCTTTACTTGAAATTAATAATTATTCGCAAGGCCGAGCAATGCTCTTAAACCCTGCAAAGCCTCTATCTTTAAACACGCCATGCTTTTTAATGATACATATGCAATTGTGGAATCCTCTGTGTTTGCAAAAGAGCTAAGGGAAGCCTTGACTGTGGTTGACAAAATATTAAATCATGTAAGGAGTATATTAGGATATGGGGGTCTTAATATTAAAATAAATGTAAGAAATTCTGTTAAAACTATTTCAAAGATTCGAATGAAAACTTTCACTCCTCTTTATACTTCGACGCTCTGAACGAGACTCTCAATGAGACAAGACTGACTCTAGACTGTTGCAGATGAAAAACTCTTGCTTAGACTTTTCTAAACAAAGAAAGAAACGGTCTGGGTCTGTAGTGTTTATGATCCCCCAGCCCTTAAGAGCCGGGTACAGCCAGATGCCCCTTTCCCGAGAAGGCCAAGCCAAGCTTATCTAGTTTATACTATTCACTAATACTACTAATCACAACAGTTCATTTTTGTTTTATTTATTGAATGATAATCTAACAGAGTACCATGCATTGGATTACTTTGTACTTGAATCATCCGTAGAATAACCTTCAGGAATATCATTTTGCGAGGATATTAAAATTGCCTGCATATGCACAAATAAGAAAAAATTTAATGTAGTATTTGAAGTCAAAAAAAGAAAATTTCATTGACATGAAATTAGTTAAATTATTTAAGGGGATAGGGTAATTACAAGACACTTCTAACATTTGTCGATATTATCTTGAGGTTTTTTACTCTGATTTTGGACTTTAGCCCCTTCAGGTATAGCGGCGCGCGAATACTCTAAGACAGGCATGGCCAAGTACATGTGCCCCACTGTAGCTATTCTCCCTACTTCGTGCAGTAGGCCCAGGAAGCCCTCACATTATTTCAGTATGTTACATGCGTGCATCATACACACTATTAACCGTTCGGACTGCGTGCCCCACTCCGGCTCCCGGGCAAGGTCGTGTCGCGCGGCGACAACTTTGGCCATGCCTGCTCTAAGAGCTGGCTAGCTATATTCGTGGTCCCGAGAGTCTAGAACCGGGCACAGTTCAGTGTTTGATCGTACTGCGCGTCTCAGTGCTTTCTGCCGTCTATACTGAACCGTGTGGAGGAAGTTTGCTGCGCCCCCCACCACCTCCCAAATCTGCGCGAAACGGTCCTGGACTCTCGAGACCACAAGCATAAATAAGCTTGTCATCACTATACAGTTGATTCTTACTGTATTACTTCTTACAGGGCGGTGATGAGATTTAAGGGGAAGAGCGAGAAAAAGCACTCGATTATATGATAGAATACTCAAAAGGGATTTATTATACAGAAATCCAATATAGACCAACACGTGTCTCGTTCAACGTTCCTTTCTACACGGTCCCTACATGGTTCCTACCACGCTCGTGTTCGCCTCGTTCCTAAATATACACGAAGATCCCGGAAAATCTAGTTTCTCATCTACTGTAAAAGAATTTGTTTGTGTAGCCAAGTTCAAATCGTCTTATCTTCCAGTGCGATCCCGTGACTTAAAGCAGAGGCAGCCGGTCAAATAGGTCTTTTATAAGATACATCGGTTATAATTATGAAAATAGTTTTTATTTATTCTTAAGAAGCGCGGAAAATTGTTGGCAGACAGTTTGCTGGTGATGAAAGTGCCGGTAAACAGAGCGAAAGTGATTTTGAAATAAGAAATTCATGACATACATGTACGCCGATTGATCGAACGTTATATTTATACATTAAAAAGGCCATATGCAAAATGGCAGAAAAAATCATAGCTGAAACCGCGGCAGACAGTTATCAAAAGCGCGTTGTTGCTCGAGCACTTTCAGCGAACGCTCGCCGCGTTTTCAATTTAACAAGTACTCGTAAAAAAACAAAATTAGTCAAAAACATGGGTTTACGGAATTTTCGTCCTTACATAAGAAGATTTCTGAATCATCAGGTACTTCTTCGGGAAGAGGAAAGTCAAGTATGGGGTGTTCTGGTTATAATTTAATCAAAATATGTTAATATTTAGTAATACGAGCGTGTTACGTATACAGCCCTGTATATGTACACGGCCCTGCGCGTTCCCAGAACGTTCGCTGCCGGTCATGTACGCATCCCTCGCGTGGGTGACTCACGGGGCGAGTCTAGCGTGGAGACTTCTAGAATATGCCCAAACATGGTCATCCCTCACCACGGGAAAGGGCCTCATTTGGGTATAAAAGGGCACTAGACCACAGCGCTTTGGATTAGTCTGGGTTTAGACTTCTAGCACGCGAAATCGCTGTCTCACCCCGTTGAGAATTTATGTGTGAATATAACTTAGATTTTCCCCGCGACATCGGTGCGTTAATCGAGGTAGGAATTCTCTTACTGCAAGAGTTGACCAACTGATAGAATATTGTATCGAGTATTTTAAAGAATATAAGACTGTGAGTTTAAACTCTTAGATTCGTTTCAATATTCATTTAAACCCTGATTCCACATTATCTGATAACAGGTCATCCCTAGTCATCCACATCCTACAGCTACCGAGGCTAACACACAGTGTTAGACTAGGGTCGTCTGTGAGTCGTTTTCTTCCCCTAATTAAGCCCGGCTGAGTCGACAGAGTCTGTCACCCATCGGGCCCCTGACCTTTCGACCTCGTAACAAGCGTTACAAAATAGCCGAAAAAACGTAGATGAATCGTAGTAGAAATCGTAAATTCGCTTAAAAGCAGTTTAAATATACGAAAGAGATTCGTCTCATATATTTCCATATGCTTATTTATTTCGTAAGAAGGCAATACAAAATAAGAAAAAAGAAGAAGAAAACCCTGATTCTCACAGATGTAATAAAGTATTCACAAGAGATATTTAGCATGGGAAGTAGGCAGAGCTGGTTAAAGGAGGATATCCTTCGACAGTAACATATTACACATATGGTGATCATATATTTTTATACATTATTTATTCGTTCCGTCGTCTGGCTTGTTTGCGTCGTCTGGCTTGTTCGCGTCGTCGGGCTTGTCTGCATCTGGCTTGTTGCTGTCGTCGGGCTTGTTGGCGTCATCTAGCTTATTGGTGTCGTCGAGCTGGTTGGCGTCGTCGGGCTTGTTGGTGTCGCCTGGCTAGTTTGCGTCGTCTGGCTTGTTGGCGTCGTCGAGCTGGTTGGTGTCGTCTGGCTTGTCTGCGTCGTCTGGCTTGTTTGCGTCGTCTGGCTTGTTGGTGTCGTCTGGCTTGTTCGTGTCGACTGGCTTGTTCGTGTCGTCTGGCTTGTTGGCGTCGTCGAGCTGGTTGGTGTCGTCGGGCTTGTTCGCGTCGTCTGGCTTGTCTGCGTCGTCTGGCTTGTTTGCGTCGTCTGGTTTGTTTGCGTCGTCTGGCTTGTCTGCGTCGTCTGGCTTGTTGGTGTCGTCGGGCTTGTTGGCGTCGTGTGGCTTGTTTGCGTCGTCTGGGTTGTTGGTGTCGTCTGGCTTGTTTGCGTCGTCTGGCTTATTGGCGTCATCTGGCTTGTTGGTGTCGTCGAGCTTGTTCGCGTCGTCTGGCTTGTTGGTGTCGTCGGGCTTGTTCGCGTCGTCTGGCTTGTTGGTGTCGACTGGCTTGTTGGTGTCGTCTGGCTTGTTTGCGTCGTCTGGCTTGTTCGCGTCGTCTGGCTTGTTGGTGTCGCCTGGCTAGTTTGCGTCGTCTGGCTTGTTGGCGTCGTCGAGCTGGTTGGCGTCGTCGGGCTTGTTGGTGTAGTCTGGCTTGTTGGTGTCTTCTGGCTTATTGGTGTCGTCGGGCTTGTTGGTGTCGTCGGGCTTGTTCGCGTCGTCTGGCTTATCTGCGTCGTCTGGCTTGTCTGCGTCGTCTGGCTTGTTTGCGTCGTCTGGTTTGTTTGCGTCGTCTGGCTTGTCTGCGTCGTCTGGCTTGTTGGTGTCGTCGGGCTTGTTGGCGTCGTGTGGCTTGTTGGTGTCGTCGGGCTTGTTGGCGTCGTCTGGCTTGTTGGCGTTGTCTGGCTTGTTGGTGTCGTCGGGCTTGTTGGCGTCGTCTGTCTTATTGATGTCGTCGGACTTGTTTGCGTCGTCTGGCTTGTTCGCGTCGTCTGGCTTGTTGGTGTCGCCTGGCTTGTCTGCGTCGTCTGGCTTGTTGGCGTTGTCTGGTTTGTTTGCGTTGTCTGGCTTATTGGTGTCGTCTGGCGTGTTGGTGTCTTCTGGCTTGTTGGTGTCGTCGGGCTTGTTGGTGTCGTCGGGCTTGTTGGTGTCGTCTGGGTTGTTTGCGCCGTCTTGCTTGCTTCATCTGGCTTGTTTGCGCCCTCTGGCTTATTGGCGCCGTCTTGTTTATTTGCGACGTCTGGCTTGTTTGGGTCGTCTTGCTTGTTTGCGCCGTCTTGCTTGTTTGCACCGTCTGGCTTGTTTGCGCCGTATTCCTTGTTTACGCCGTCTTGGCTTCCGGCGTTGGTTCCCCATGCCGAAACAGATCCCGGTCTTGGGATTGGTCTCCCTATTGGTTTCAGTACTGGACGTACCGGTACTTGTGTAACGTATGATTCCGGTAATACTGGTGGCTTTGTAGCCTGTCGTAGAATCACTTCAGGGCACCTTATAAGGCATGCCAGAATTGGAATATTATCCGACGTTGATTTACATGAACGTTTGCAGAAAGCCTTTCTGCGAGCTTGAAGCCAAGCAAATCCCAATCTTGGTGAACCTTGTTCAGTTGATTTCTCTACAATGGAATCGTTGGTAGATGTTGATGAAACTTGTCCAACCTGCTCCTCAGGAATATATACCTATACGATGGAAGTAGAAAGAAATAGTGCATTATGCAACCAGGGTATAAAGTCGCTCATTATACCGATCGGTGGGTTTACTGCCCGATATACACATATATATATACAGGGTGTCCCAGAACTAATACTACGCCCGAAAATGAGGAGAAGCTGAGGTGATTTCGAACAACTCTTTCCTTTGTGAAGAAGTTGTCCGAGACGTGGTTATTGAGTTATTAACAAAAATACCCGACCAATCAGAGCGCGAGTATACAAGGCGGGCATGAGCGCGATAACCGCCTCATGTGTTGCCGCGGCCCATATGCCACGCTCGTGACGAAAACATGGGATTAAAACAAAAGTTACATGCAAGAGCAACTAAGAAATTGTTTAAATATTACAGAAAACAAGGCAATTAGTCGTTAGTTACGTTGGCTCAATAAATGTAACATACTCAATGAAATAACTAACAACTTTATAAATTACTTATAAAATTTTTACTTACTTATAAAATTAAAAAAAAATGGGGACGCCTTGTATACACAAATGCTCTGGTTGATTGGTAATTTTTGTTAATAACTCGACAACCACGGCTCGGACAACTTTTTTGCAAAGGAAAAGGTTGTTTAAAATCACTATGGCTTCTCCCCATTTCAAGGCCTAACACTAGTTCTGGGATACCCTGTATATACACACACACACACATATACATATACCAAACTTACTTGGTATCGGAGGGCTGATAATCTGGTATTACCAATTTTTCTGTAGGTGGAGGCGTCAAGGAGATATGAAGGTCAACTCTGTTTTTTTAAATAGAACAGTAAGTTTTTTTACTTACATTCTGATAGAGTGTTTTAGAGAGTGAATACAATGACCTATTATGAAGGTCATTCAAGGTCACTCAAGGTCAACTGCAATAGAAAATCAATTGTCTCAGAGTACTTTTCGAATACTTGTGTATCACGTGTGTGTATTACGTGACACGGGTCACAAAAGATAAACAAACATTCAGTCACATTGTACGCTTATCTGTATCCTCAAACATTATTGGTAATTTGACTACCGTCTAGAATACAGCTTCGTAATATTTATTCAGTCTAAGTGTTCAGTTTTCTAAAATGCGTTACACGATAGCAGAGAAAGTAGAAATGGTTCTTATTTATGATGAATGTCATAGAATTATGAGGGAAGCGGTACGTGTGTATGGTGAAAGATTTCCCGATTGTAATAACAGACCTTCACTTTCTGTCTTTACGCACATTATGAAAAAGTTCCAAGAAACTGGAACTGTGGATAACAAAACACGTAATCTTGCCAAACGAGCAACTGATGATGGAAACTCGATAAATACTGTAGCAGCTGTAATTCGAGATGTTAGTACAAGACAACTGGACCGCGAAAATGGGATCAGTTGACGAAGTATTTTACGATTATTACACATTAACAAATTTCACCCGTTCCACATATCATTTCATCAACAATTAACTGAAAATGATTATACAAAACGTTTACAATTTTGTGAATGGGGCTTACGAAAACTACAAGACGATGAAATGTTCGCGAGTAAACTGTTATTTACCGATTTACAATCTCTGGAGCAGTTAACCGTCACAACATGTACTACTGTTCAGTAGATAATCCACGATAGTTGAGAGAAGTCGACAAACAGAGACCTTGATCTGTATACGTCTGGTGGGGCCTTCTTCATAATAAAATAATTGGTCCATATTTTATTGATGGCACATTAAATAGTAGTAAGTACCTGAGAATCTTAGAAGACGTTTTGCCAGAATTGTTAGAAGACATTTCACTGGACATACGACAATCCATGTGGTTCCAGCAAGACGGATGTCCTGCTCATTCAGCACGCAATGTTACAGAATTTTTAGATAGAAAATTTGGAGATTGTTGGACAGGTCGATCAGGAAGTAACAAATGGCCGGCATGATCCCCAGACCGGACACCTCTCGATTTTTATTTGTGGGGAAAATTAAAGATAGAAGTGTACCGCAAAGAACCAACTACCAAACTTAGAGCTTGCTCTGTAATAGATACAAATGAAATTTGCCAGGCAGTGTCATCAGTATTGCAACGATTTAAACTATGTATCCATGTTTAAGGTCGCCATTTTGAACACTTGTAGTAGCAGTACCAAAGTATCCAAGTGTTCGAAGAGTGCTTTGAGATAATCAGTTTTCTATTGCAGTTGACCTTGAGTGACCTTAAATGACCTTCATAATAGGTCATTGTATTCACTCTCTAAAACACTCTATCAGAATGTAAGTAAAAAAACTTACTGTTCCATTTAAAAGAACAGAGTTGACCTTCATATCTCCTTGACGCCACCACCTACAGAAAAATTGGTACTAGCAGATTATGAGTCCTCCGATACCAAGTAAGTTTGGTCTAATGCACTTTTTCCTATCTTCAAAAACAAGCGAATTATTGAGGTGACTTGTTTAAAATGCCCCACCCTGTATATACGTGTATACATATACACATATGTGATATGTCACACACTCAAGTGGAGAACTCGACAAACTATATTCTCGATCCGCTTTGTAGACGACGAAAGATGGTCTTTTTTCTGCTATTTTTATAAAAAATACGGTGTGCGACTCGGGCTGAATGGACCTTTCCAGCCTCGAATGATGATTTGAGCATCTCGTGTTCATCTCGGACGCCTGTTGCGCCCTCGACTACCAATCGTGCTCAAACATCAACCTTGCCCAGAAAGACCCATTTTTGGTCCTGGTGCACAATGTACTATTTCGTCCCGCTTATGATGTATAAGGGAAAAATAAGCGATTTTAGTCCCGTTTTTGAGGGAGTAAAGTGCGTTTTTAAGTTCATCAGTGAATGAAATCATTTAATTCCCCACACATGTATTTGTTAAAATAACAGAATGAAACAATTGTTCTAGACATGTATAATAAATTGTTACTTATTGACTGATTTGATTTTATTAAATAGTCCACGAACAAATACGCAATGTATGCACTATAATAGCATATTGATAATTCTAATATTCTTAGAACAATTTGATTGCGCTTGTGTAGCCTAGTTTCCAAAATACAAGTTGAATAGGCAGAATTCACCTCTGTCCAAACACACCCGATCAATATAAGCAAAATTACAATCTGTGCGAGACGCAACATTGTAAACGCAACGGCTAAGACAATTTGACGACGAAACCATTCAACAAAACTAAGTTTTTCGATGAATCTTGTTCCTTCTTATATACACTTGTAACAATGGCTAAGAATTCATAGATACTTGACCTACTCAGTTTTTGAAACCTAGTTGCATTTACTTAAGAGACAACACTCGTCCTTATCTCACGTTTTATGTACAAAGAAAAACAGTATCTGCATTGAATGTTAAAATTAAAACTTAAACTACATTCAAGATTGCAGAGGTTACTATTTTCGATTAGATATGTTAATTCATAACTAGACAATATTTATTATAATTTTTGCAACAGATCGATTGTTTTGCTCAGTATCCGCTTCCATTTGTGTGCAAATGCAATCTGCGAGTGACTAAACAATACTAAAAATGTGTGTTGCTGTCCATCGGGAGGTCTCAAATCATCATACTTATGGTTATAATGTCCGAAATTAATATTTTATTAATTTGATGCATTTTAATACACATATGTACGTTTTCATACAAGAGACAGAATTACTTCTTCAGATATAATATATAGTGAATCTCTTTATACAGTGAGAATTACAAAGAGCAGTATGGATGCAGAAAGTAATGCATTTAAGACATTAATACGAATTGGTAGTAGTATACACACTAGTGTATGCAAACAAATACTAATACCATTGAGAGTAGGCGCGACATTGTATACAATAGATTCGAAGACACAATAGTAATCATCAGCTGCATGACATCAGCGATAGTCACGATGAATCAGTGTCATGCGTTAGCTCGTGCAGTGAATAGCTTAAAATACCTAAAAATGAAATGCAAAACTGATAGTAACAGTAAATGTTTTCCGAGTGAGGTGATGAGATATATTTCCAGAGCTAGACAGCCTATCACAGAATTCATATCATAACTAAGCAGATACGAGTGCTCAAAACGATTCTCAACCCGCTTGGCATATACAGATGCAAACATTAAGTTTTATTAATTATTTGTTAATATTTAATTTATAAAATTTCATTAATTATTTATTATTTATTATTATTTATTAATTATTAAATTACGTATGAATATTTCTCGTCTGCTCAACATTGACAGTTCATCGACAGTTAGATTTGTTGAGTTTTGAACTAAGTTTCAGATTTCAAATCGTGATGAACGTAACAAGATAGAATAGAGTAATTCGTGTTGAATTCGATAGAATGCAAATCAATCGTAATTAAAATACGAATTAAAGTTATAGTTAAAAGCTTACTACCTTGCAGCTTACTTTAGAGTCTTTGCATTTTTCTGAAATCTGTCATTTTGGTCGATACGAAGAGAAATTCTTATATTTCAAGTTCCACTGCACAGATTTTGGAGAAACACGATTCAAATTAAAGCTAGAACTCCCAGAAATATGGTCAGACCCTTCAGAAAACTCTAACATTATTGTATTGTATGATGTTCAATGCGATTTGAAACACGGCCGAAATCGGATCATCAATAGTAAAACTAGGTATTTATTTAAAAAAATTGATTTTTATAACACGACCTTAAGAATGACGATTAACAGAATTGTAGCGATGCACATCAAGATATAGGATACTCCATTTTGCACAATGAACCCTAACCCACGGAAATTGGACTATTATTACGGATTATATATCGGGTCTATGAATTTATTTAAAAGTACCATCAAGGGACTAGAGGATAATCATATTTGTCAGTTGATTTTTATATAGGTAACCAGGCAAACATAATGCAAAACATGAGTCTTAGTCCTGTGTTTTTATTTCTCAGAGAATTAAAGCAAAATTTGTTTCACTGTTTAGTTTGACGTACATTCTAGACTAGACCTTTGATCTGTATCATTCAGGACAATCTCTCTTTGCTATAAAATTGTTCAAAATCTGAGGCCCTGTAACTACAATTTCTGCTTTGCTTCCTAACATTTATTTTATTTAGATATTGATATAATCTCATTGAGTGATGGACAGAATGTCCTAGATTTAAGTTTCAGCTTTTCGAAGATGTACTTAACGACGGAAACATCTGTTAATATCAGGACAAGAAGTCGATTTTTTTGGTCAGTTTGGTGGTAACATTGACGTTTTACCTTACAGCGCGGATATGGAATCTACCTCCTTAAAACACAGTCTATCACAAGATTTCTCACTGTCTCGGTTTTCTTAATAATGTACCAATCAGTCTATTGGGATTATCACTCCCTTAGAAATGGAGGATTTTGCGCAGTATTCAGCATCGTACCTAACACTTAAACGGAACACCGAAATCCCAAGCCACTGAAATGGAATTACCTTTCTAAAGAATTGCTATTAGGTCGAAACGAATTATAATCCTAGATACGTATTGACAAAATTCCTTTTAACTAAACTATCCTATTATCTGTTGTATACTACATTTTCAATTTCTTGTTAAATATTCCCGTGATTCTGGAAAACGCCAAGGATCGTCATTTAATTCGTTTTAAACAGATCGGAGGAGTTGAGGTCTGTGACAGGTCTTGGGTGAGTCGCGATGCATTACTTCGAGAAATCGAAGTTCCCGGATCTTGTTACTCTTTTCGTAAGACAAAATCCAGTACCACGCGGGAGAACAAATGTATTAAGATGGCTCGTCCTGTCCATAACTTAGAGCGTCACGAACCCTTTTATCGCGATTAAATCGATACCACAGCTAAGTATTATCTCAGTTGCTATCCTCTATCCCCAGCCTGTAATCCTTTTCCATTTGTGTTTCTACTCGAGCGTATCTGCAACGTAGTGGGCCGAGGTATGTTCCTTCACCACGACAGTAGTTTTCGAGCCGACACCTATCAAAACGTACTGCCTGGCAGCACGCTTCGAAGCGGGCGACCCGCGTACCACGCGAAATATATATATATATACAATATTTACTTTCCATGCTTATCATCTGAAAATTATATATTGAACAATATTTAATCGTTTGTTTATGTCCGTCGTAAATATTGAAAGATTTGCAAGATAATAATTTTATCTGTACGACACAAATGCATAATTTCTCAAATTAATAAAAAATTTGATCAAGACATATAAATAGCTTTTATCTGCCAATTTGGGATGATTTTATTAATTACCATTATTCTACATGTTGTATATTTCAGCATTGTACATATTAGGACGGAAAGAAAGATAGAAAGAAGTCACGCGTAGTTGCACTTTGAAGTTTCGAAGAATTCGCTGCGTACTGCCTCGTACGACTACGCTTGGTTATGCGGGCCGCCACCCGCGTGGTATGTACTGTTGCTATGTCATATCGTGCCCACGCGAATGCATTCGGCTACGCGTGGTCCTATTTTTTTTGACACTCCGGGCGCGAAATTCGGTTTCTCGTGCATGTTTAGCGGGCGCAAAATAGCACATTCCCGCCCTAGGGCGGAAAATGATATAATGACAACTTCAATGGCTTTTGTTATCGATTAAACAAACTGTAGGCTCTTACAATGTTCCGTACCAGTACAGTGTAGGATAAGATGGTAAGACATTGTACGAGTATGGTAAATGCCAGCCGGAAACGCGAAGAACTTTGTAAGGTATACGGGCAGCCCGATAACGACGGCAACGTCTAAAAATCTCGAGACGTGCTGCGTTTCGGGAACATTTTAAAACAGTACAGCTCTGGACGTGGAAGAAGCTGGTCGCGACCCGATCAAATATATATCTTTAATATACTAACGCAGTGTCGGTCATTTTACCGTGCAACACGCTGTTTGGTCGATTTGCTTGATATTATACTTTTTTCGTATGTCGGTATGTGAAAATATACTATTATTTCAAAAAAATTGGTAAAATATTTTTGAAAGACGGGGGGCTTCGCCCCCCGAACCCCCCATAACCCCGCCCTGAGAAACATCGCCCCCGCCCGAACCCCCACCAGGGGACTTCGCCCCCTGGACCCCTTTCTTTGTAATTAAGATGAACATACAATTTTCAATGGTCGAATTTCTCGCCCGGCGTGTCAAAAAATAGTATGTGCACCACGGGCGCAAAGGGCATTCTGTCACTCGTGTGAATTTGTCGCCCGAGCGAAGCGAGGGCGAAATTCACACTCGTGCCAGTGCTAGAATGCCCTATTTTGCGCCCTAGGTACACAATGTACTATTTCGTGTGGTACACGGGTCGCCCGGTACTATACTCGTGTTTCCGAGAGA